CTGGATGCTGCTGAGCCTCTCACAGAGTTTCCCTCCAACAGAACCTCAGAGCTCCTCTATAGAAAACCCAGAAACATTCATGGTTCTGAGCCTGGCTGCAAACTTAGCCACTGATTCTACAGCCCCATCAAGAAAGGATTATTATTATTGATTGATTTGATTTTTATTTATTTAATTAGATTTTATTTTATTTTTACATTCAGCCTTTAAAAAGCCATTTTCAGCTGGCCATTTAATAAATAGGCTGTAAAGTAACATCTGCAGTCAGATGTCATGTGTTTCCGTCGCCACGGCTCCCGGACAGCCTGCTGGAGAACATCCCAGAGGAAACACTGTACAGCGCATATGTACAGCCTCCCTACAGACAGGGAGACACTGAATATAAAGTAGAACCACACAATGAGCTGTTTTAAGCTGAACCACATTTCTAAGGCTGCACTTTTATCGGCAGTTCCAATATGTAATAAATAACAAATAACAGTAAATGTTATGAATCCTGAGGTTAAATCTGACCATTCATCTACATCAGTACTACAGTGGGTAGATTATTAAAACTATGTGCTATTCTCTGAGCTTCATGAGCAAAGGGTCACTAAAATCAAAGTGTCTTAATGTGGTTAGCATGTTTAAAGGCAATCTGCCTGTTAGATCAGGACAGCAGTGGAGGAGAGCTCCTGATGATTCATCAAAGCAAATCCATATCTTCCTAAAGCTGATGCCACATGTAGAGGACCTTCTAAAAAGCTGGAATAAAACCTGAGAAGAAAAATGGAACGCTACCAATCAGGGTGTAGAAACTCTGTAATGCTGCGACATGTTGGCTCGTACATGAATGAACCGCCGACTCCTCAAAGTAAAACACCAGGTTTGTTTTTGAACTGCATTAAGCCAGTAGATAGCAGGCTACCCAACACCAGAGAACCTACAGGCAGCTACAACACGGGATCCTGTGCACCTCTGACAGAACCACAGAGGTTAAATAAACCGGGGAAATGTGCACCAGACGGACTGGACCTGGCTTAGTGGACCTGCAGCTCTATATGAGCCGCAGCAACACGCTGGGGAGTGTTTTGCACAGAACCAGGCATTTGGTTTCCACTCCTGAGGAGGAAGCTTCCAGCAGGTATAGCTACACACATACAGCAGGTGAAGGAGTGTTGGTCTTAGATGTACCTAAAAACATCAGAGCCTTTCGAGGACTTTTGACTTTTTCATGTGTTTCAGTGCTGGTTATCGTGTCGTACCGCTGGAGTCACATCAGGACCTCGCTATGGGCACATGTGTGCATTTATTAGACTCTCACAGGTGCTCCTATGTGCTCGTTGTTCCATCTGCATGGGGTCTTTGGGTCTTACCATCACAGCGAGGTCTTCATGGAAGGAGGCTTCGGTCTCGGCTGGCTGGGGGCTGAGGGCTGAGTCACTGCTGCTTCTCACCAGCAGGGGTGTGTCTGCACAGAACCAGAGAACAGCAGATAAAGGAAATGTGGAGGTGGGCTGAGAACCTGTGACGCTGAGGCCTGTCCCTATAGATCTGGGTGATACCTGCACATCCGCTTCAGATATTCTGCTCTAACGTGTTTTTCATCCACTGCATGATGCAAAGCTGAGATTAGCTGCCTTAATTCTTGTCTCACTACACGAGATAATAAGGTCGCGTTAAACAGAAGCAGAGATGTGTATGAATAAAAAAACTACAGGAAACATTTCAGGGAGATGTTCTACAGTTTGTCTTATTTCCCTGTTTAAATAACACATCTGGAAAGGAATATGACAACATAACAGCAGACATGGGACATAAAACAGTCCATATAACTACCTTCAGTCACATTTTTAAAACGATACGACAGATCAGGAGAAAAGGTGGCAGTAGAGAAGGCCTGTATCTGTGATGCTGCTCTGATGGAGTCACAGTTCAGCAGGATTCATGTCTAATAATAATTCTTTAGTTGACAAGATACAGACCTACGCTAGTCACGGCGCACTGCACAGAGGCTTCTGAGTGTTTCTTCACAAGTGTCAGAGCAGAATGAGAAAGGAAGAGAGAAAAGACGAATGTTTTTATGTGGCTGCTGACAAAATGAATTTCTGCTCTGTCACGGCGATACTCATCAGAAATCCAGCCTGCAGAAGTCCACGTGGGCTCGCAAACAACAGAGAAGACGGAGCGACGCTGTGGTATGGTCAGTGAGCATCCAGCAGAAGATGAAAGTAAGGAAAGAAAAGACACACTGACAAAGAAAGAGGCAACTTAAAGCAGCCTCAGGGTTTCCCTCACACTGACTTTAATCATCCAGACGAACAGCCAGACGCGTGCTTATGGATGGACGTCCATATCTGCTGATTACATACTAAGCTCATCTTTGAAAGCTGTTTGTGGAAATGCACCACTTCATAGGTCTGCAAGGAGCAGATCTGAGAGCAGCGGCGTGAGACGTTATGTACGATCCTCCCTTCACATCCCATTGGTGAGCACACTGCTGTTCCTGCATCCAAACGGCCAGTAAGTGGCTGACGAGCAGATTTTCTGTGTGCAAGTATGTAACGTATGACACGTCTCCTCCTTCGCATCTCATCAGCCCTCTGCATAAAATCCTCATTTAGGGGAAGCTGATAGATGAAGCCACCGCCCTGGAGCCTGTGCTGCTGCTGAAGCCAGGGAGCAGCGATCCTGAGAGGAAAGTCAACACTGAGAAACGCAAATAAATAAGATTTATCAGTGGCCATGTGATGATGATCTGTGTGGTGCCTTAGATCCACCATCCCCACTCACAGACACCATTAATCCACATATACATTAAGAACACGGCCACGCTAGCGTCTATGGTTCAGCTGGGAATAGAAGAGCAGAGGTGGAGGGAACTCTATACGGGCGCTACTCAGACGACAGGCCACATGGTATTTGTAGGGTCACGTATTGATCGTCACCAAATGGACCCTTGGTGCTCTTAGACTGGCTGGAGATATGGATTACATCAAACTCTGATCAATCCATCTCCTCAGAGGAAGGCAGTGAGAGACAGATGAATGGAGGAGGACAGGAGGCAGAGACACTGGATGGAGACAGAAACACAAGCAGAGGAGCGACAGGAGGAGATGGTGAACATGTGCAACAGAAATATCAATAACAGATGGTTCATATATGTACACGTATATTCTAATAGCTACACAGGAGCTACTACAGCCACTGACGTGTTGTTTCACCACGTGTCTGATCCTCCTACAGTCACACCGTGACATAGAGCTCTGCTGTTTGATCTGATGCATGATACCAGACTGAACTAATTGTTGTCATTTAAATATTAGCAATGTGTCTATTTCTCTGTTTTAGGTTACACACTACCTGTTCAGTGGAGAAATAACTGTGGAATACATAACTATGGTACCCATAAGGCATATTTGGCAGGTTTTTTGTGGTCCAGCCTTCTGGGTTGTTCTGTGAGACTGAATATGGGATAGATGGAGAAACAGCTGCAGCCAGCATTTTCTCAGAACTTACACTGAAGCTAAACACCTTCTGATCAAATAAATCAGCTGCACAGCGTCATCAGAAGGTGTCCGGTGTGTTTATGCGACCCACATGGTGGTGGAAGAAGGTTGACGGAGAGCCCAAGTGAAGGCAGATGAATGAAAAGCCTGCACGAGTCTGCTCATAACAAGGAGGCAGTGACACAAAGACGAGGAGACACAGGACGGTTTGGAGACAGTCAGAGGCAGAAAGGTGGAGAAGGAGGTGGTAGAGAGGAGGAGAGAGGCTGGACAGAGACAGTGGTAGAGGCCTAACGCTGACCTTCTCACTCTGACAGTGATCGTCTCCAGAGCTGCGCTACCTCTAATCTCCCATGACAGTCACACATTAGCACTAAGCTCTGCTGACAGGCGCCATACTGAAACAGACTAAACTTCCTGTCTTAGCCGTGTCGCAGCATACAGCCAAGGCCCCTTCACGATTTAGGAAGGTCGTATCGTACGAGCCCAAATGTCACTTCTGTTATTACTGCTGGAGATAAACTAGCAGTATTGATAGAGGATATTTACGGTCATACGTACAGAGTGTGACATTAGATCTGGTCCAGTGGGACAGAGAAGACAGTATCATCAAAATCACTAAGAATACAGAAAACAACGAGCCCTGCTGATAAAAGGCACAGCTTACACTAAACACCAGAGCGGTATCACTCCTCATCTGAAGTGGCGTAAAATAAAACTGACTGTGAGCAGTCCATCACCCTCATGCTGAAGCTACCTTCAACCACGGCTGAGCCTTCTCACGCTCACATGTACAGCACGCTACTGAACCAGCACTTGACTTGACATAAGCCAGAGAGGGGTACCGGGGACGTAAAGGTCAGGCAGATAGGTCTAGTCCAGGTAACAGGAACCAGACACAGACATCAGTTTCTGCTCTGCAGCCTGACAGAACACACACACTTCCTGTCTTCTCCTTTTCATCCTGGCCTCACTGACACGGTTCTGCCAACACGTCAGCAGCTACCATCCTGCTTCCATTACTGTGCTGCCCATCACATGCTGACCTTCGTCTGTCCAGGAATGTGAACTTAACATCTTTTCTAGCATCTACACGACATGTACGGCTCTAAAACCAAGAACATGCTGAACAGGAAACGCCAACTGGGTTTTATTATTTCAGAATGACTGATTTTTGTCTTCATGCCACCGACTCATCCCGTCTATACAAAACGATGTTTTTAATCACGTCATTAGAAACTAAAGCTGCTTCTTGTCTGACATCCGCTGTGACACTGACCTGTTGCTGCACCGACCTACAGGTTACAGCTAAAAGCTAAGAGGCTTCCCGGAGGACTTTCTCTTCCTTTGCCATGTTTCTGCAGTCCTTTGAAACCGAATTCAGACCACGTGACACTCAGCTCTGGTACGACAAAGCCCCGGCCCGGTCAACAGTTGGGGGAAGACTAAGTACTTCTCAGAGGCAGCAGAGCTTTTCTAGCAGCCAGAGGTAAAGTGGACGGGCTTGTCAGAGGCACAACACCTGGTCCAATTGGGTTTGGCTTAGTGCTGCATTACAGTGACAAACGCCAGAGCTGCACTCATGTCAGGGACAATGGTCCTCCTCTAGAGACGAGAAAGTTCCTGAATGAAGCCTAAATCCAACCAAAGACGGAGCACACATGTTCAGACAGCTTAAAAACTCTGCAAAGAACTTTTGAAAGAACTTTAAAATCTTCTAGAAATAAACATTATTATATGTTGCACACATACATTCATCAAGCACATGTTGTGTATGTTCATATATATGATAATAGAAAGCAGAGAGGTCCCCTATCAACATTTAGATCACACAACCTCAGACTGAATGACTCTCACACATTTTTCTCTAATATGGAGATCTGCAGAATGTCAAACCACATCAACGTTAAACTAAAAACAAACTTACTGGACTTCAGGGCTGAGGAAGTGACTTCAATCTCTCCTCCTGTGATTGGCTGGAAGGCAGCGAGCTCGGCCTGGTAGAGCTCGGGGCTGGGGGCGAGGCTGGTGTTGGCCACGCCCCTCTGCTGGGCTTCCTGCTCCTCATACACCGCCATCAGCTAAAGGAAACACACACAGGAGTCGCTTATTGTTCACTTCATGTCTTCTACTCGTTTAATTCATTATGAGCACAGTACTGGAGCAGAGGGAAGGTGTAGGACTCCCAACATGGGCTCACAGTGGCTCCAGGTTTTCTGTTTGCTTCTCGTTACTCACACTGAGATAAAAGCCACTCCAGCTCTCTTTGCTGCCAGCACGCTACTTTAGCGATTTACTTGCATTACACAATGCAAAGCAAATGTTAGAGGCAGCACCAGCGCATTTTAAGTCAAGCAGAGAATGTGAAGCAGACACCCGAGCTGCCCTGAGAGGTGACGTCTCCTGACTGTACTACACACTGTACTGGATGAACGGCGATAAACACCCTGCTGCTCACATGTCTTCAGATCAAGCACAGCAAAGGAAAACGGTGTGCGGTTCAGTGCATGTGCATGCACACAGCGTGTGTGTTACCTTGTGGATGAGGACGCTATAGAGGACGTCCAAGGAGCCCAGCATTCCTGCGACAGAGCGGGTGGCTACTGATTAACACCTGCCTCCATCCGTGTCCCTGGTGCATGTGTGTGACGCTCTGCTAGCTGTAGCTGTGTTATATAGAGGAATCCCCGTCTATTGAGCATTGCACTGAGTCTGCGTTTAGCCGAACATAGCACAGAGCTGGTCAACACACTGTTCTAGGGGCCTCCATGCACAGGCTGAATAGGCCTGTGTGTGTACACGCAAGTGTGTGTCAACGTATGTGTGTGTGCGTCGTGTCTATAGCGGTCAAGAGTAAAGAAAGAGGACTTTGCCAGCAAAGCCAGAGGCTTCCTGCCACACTGGAACCCACAAGTGTGCAACACACTGTCTCTCTGCCTCACATGCAGCGTGAGTGACTGCTCTGTGGTCTGGTGACTGCTTCTTCTGCACTAGTCAGCAAAAAATAAAATAAAACAATGCAGGTCTAAAACACAAAGCAATGGCTCATGGAGAACCTGATCAGTAGAGCAGTTTGTTCATCCAAAACTAAATCTGGTTTTGAAACAGGAAAATCTAAATAAATAACATAAATAAGACTCTATTAAACCCGCTATGCTAACAATTTGATTGTTAATTGATAGTTGTGTGTTTGATGAGATGGAGTTACAGGTGTGTTTGCTGATCACCTATAAGGGTCACAAAGCATCAAGTTGGACCAAGTGTCCAGCTGCTGTCCCGTTAGCTAACTGCCTGACCCTGCTGCTAACACTGAGCTGGGTTTACCAAATACAGGCTGGTATAGCAGCTATAGAAGCTAACGCTGCTAACATCCAGGAGCAGCAGGACTCTGATCACATGCTTTCTACAACATTTAAACTAAAGCGACGGAGTGTATCTGCAGGCTAATGCTAATGCTAACTACAGGTAACAACTTCACATACATCAGGTCTGGGAGCGATGACTAGCAGCAGCTGTAACTAGCAGCAGCTATAACTAGCAGCAGCTATAACTAGGCAGCAGCTATAACTAGCAGCAGCTATAACTAGCAGCAGCGATAACTAGCAGCAGCTGTAACTAGGCAGCTGGTTGTTAATGTGGAAGACAGTAGTGATATCAGTGAATTCTGGATTTGTCAGGTCAATCACTGAACAGGAATTTTACATGGAGTCATTACTTTCTGCTGTTTAATTTAGAATTCCAGTAGCCTGGTGTCTACCTTAACTCCTAAGCCTGACCCTGACCTTAACCTTAACTTTAACCCTAACCCTAACTCCTGTTGCACTAATGCCTACTTTGTGGTAAACATTAAGCATCAGTGGTTAAAAATGTTTTTGTTACAGTGTTCATTTCAACCATTTACACATTACTAGTTGTTGACGGGGTTAAAATCTGACTTAACTCTGAAATACTCAACCTCTACCTTCTTTACTGAACATACATGCTACATGTATGTTCGTTCTCTGCAGCACGCCCTGAGCAGGCAGAGCAGAGAGCTGAACAGCACTGAGTTACACAATATCGCACCTTTCTCACCATCTTCCATCCAGATCTCACCAGATATTCAGCACAACCGAGGCCTCTCCGGCTCTCACACATTCATGTTCTGACACACTCCCCACCTCCATCTGTCTCACACACATTCCTCTCATTGTCCTGCTCCATCTTTCCTCCGTCCTTTGTCTCTACATCCCCGACCGCTCCTCTGTCCTATTAGTGTATTTACACACTTCTGCTCATTCCTGGAGAGCACAACCTTGGCTTGGTGATGTAATCACAGTGCTTCTTACTTGATGATGATCCATCAACCTTTTCCTGCCAAGCAGCAAACCTTTGGCGAGCCTTGTCCGGCAGCTACTGCAGAGACGGCAATTAGGCCGACAGGAAAAAGAGGGACACGGAGGTGAGGAAGGGACAGCGGCGCTTTAAAAACCTACACATATTTCACAAAAACAGCTCACATGCTTGACCAGTTTCCATGAATGTGTCTGCTACAGAGAGCAGAACAAGACTAATAGCTCCCAGATAAGAAAGAGGGGCGGCGGAGATTCTTAAAAAAGAACATCTGAGAGAATGACTGGAAGAAAAATGTGTAGACAAATTCAACAGAGCCTTGCCAAGTCTCCTAAAAAGCTGAGGTGAAAAGAAAGGGAAGACAACCAGATGAGACAGGGGAGGACTTAGCCTCTGTTCTGTTCGACAGAGGAACTCAAAGACCTGCCAAACAACATGACACCACAGCCCGAGAAGCGACGGAGAGACGGGCGAGAGGCAGAGAGGTGACAGAGTGAAGCACAGAGAGACTTATAATGATAATAATGAGCCAGACTGACAGATGTGCTGTACTGTGAAAACCTCTGGGATGTCAGAGAGGAAGAGCAAAAACCTGAAGCTTCACATTGTCTCAGAGCATCACTGTGTCAAGTGCTGGTCCAATGATGAGTCCACTTCCAGCAAAAATGAAAAGTTACCTGCTGCCAAGTCTGTCTGTTCCTCTCACACCAGCCGCTCACCGACTTCAGACTCAAGACGTAGAGCATCTTCTTTAGCTGTTTTTGTCACATTACATTAAAAAAATCACATCTGCACAACCTGAACAGGGCTGCAGGTGGATCAGTGGTTAGCACCGTGGCCTCGCAGCTAGAAGGTCGCCGGTTAGCATCCCGGTGAGGACACCCAGGATCTTCCTGCGTGGAGTCTCCATGTTCTCCCCGTGCAGCGTGGGTTCTCTCCGGGTTCTCCGGCTTCCTCCCACAGTCCAGAAACATGCTGAGGTTAATTGGTGATTGTAAATTGTCCGTAGGTGTGAATGTGAGTGTGCTTGGTTGTACAGATAATGGATGGATGTTTTTATAACATTGCATTAAAAAATCACATATGCACAACCTAAACAACACGGAGGTTGTGTCCGAAACCATCCACTCACTCCCTGCTCCCTACCCAGGGACCACCATGTAGTGAAGTGTGTAGTGAGCATCTCGGCAAACTGACACTCTGGACACGACTGGAGCTACTGGTTACGTCGCTCACTAGCTGTTTGTAGCGCGAAGAGCAAACGCATCAGATATACAGTTAACTGCGCTGCTAAGAATCGGGTCAAATAAAATTTAGCAAAACACAAACGGGAAATGACATTTTCATGACAAGTTGTCACGCTCTCGTTTGTCTCGTTTCCTTTCACACAACGCATGGTGGTCCATGCTGCTGGTTGGTGGCCATCGGCTGTATGCCACTCTTCAGGTGCATTGTGGGAGATTTTGAGTGCACTATGTAGGTGTAGCAGGTGATTTGGGACACAGCCCTGGTGTGATCTGGTTTGATAAATGCTTGAATTACTGATGGAATATAAGACTTTATGTATAATGTTCACTTGCAGAAGTCAGTCCAAGCTGGTAGCGAGTGTGCTTGCCTGACCTCAGAACCAGTGAACCAGATATCTCCAGACCCGGCAGACAGCTCGTATTTTTAGCCACTGAGTAAAGAGTTAATTGTGACTTTCCAGCATCCAGCTCTGATCCCACTGTGTGCATCAATCATGCTATTATATATAACATTTAACCTTCTCATCAGCTGTTCTGTCAACAACCCGACACACTCAGAGATGTTGGTGAGATGCTGTGTTTTTTTCTCCTTCTGTCGGCTTCAGCGTTTCTGTCAAAACACATGTTTGACTTTGATCATGTTGCTGACAAGCTCGTGTAGGAGTGCCTTCATCCATCTGGGAGCTTGAATCCTGGAGCTCCAAAATGCCATCTGAGCAAGAAATCAGGATTCGTTTTGTCTGTATCTGCCTCCGACTACAGCGCAAACCATTTGATTGTGTGTGTGCGTTAGTCTGAGCTTTAGACATCTAAATGCTTGTAAAATATCAGAAATACATGCTATGTGTGTCAATACTGCTCTGCATGAGTCCCAGGGTGCCGGCGACCCACAATATCTAACAGGGTTAGGTAAAAGGACCCGAGTACTGGAAGTTAACTGATCCCAAACGTAGGGCTGGACCCAAATAACCGAAGCACGAGACAAGACAACACACGTGAGGTCACACTGGGCTCTGGGAAACACTGATCAGCATTTTTAACTTGTATAATAATAATCAACAGTGAAGATACTGGTGAGCTGCAGCCCTCGCTGAGCCTCAATCACCACCTGGTCGGTCTCTCTGAACGGCAGAGTTCCTTCTATGTTTACTTCACACCAACACCGTGACCAGAGTACGACTCGCTCTTTTATTCAGAAGTTAACAACCTGGTGTGATTAACAATACCTGGCTGCAGACGATGAACTCTAACAGCAACAAGGCCAACAGGTGATGTTTCAGTGAGCTGCGTACACCAGCACCGTGTGCATACTGTATGGGAACGTGTTCTAACGTGTGACAGGAAGCAGTGCAGCGTCGGCTTCTGTCCACTAACACAACTGTAAGAGGCCTTCACATGGACACAGGTAGATTAATAGCAGCTCAGCCTCTACGTGGACAACATGGCATCAGTGCATGTGCCTACATTACCATCTCCTTCCACATGATACGCTTTCTAATCGG